GCACGTCCGTTGTCACAAACCGTTTTGGTGAGTTCCTCGCTGCACGTTTTCCGCTCCGTCTGATTCGCTTCTTATTCTTGTAGCTTGTACAATATACGTTGGGTTCAGTCGCCTCCGACTTCTATACTGTCGTGTTTGACACGTCTTACGTGTCATGGCTTACCGACTAGTATCCCAAGTTCCGCCCAACACCTTTAGCTACGCATGTAGTCATCAATTTAATTTATCATAACCTTTTTCAGGAAGCAAAGCTATGTACCATTATCTTCCTTTTCCCACACCGTAATGCCACTAAAATTAAGTATATACTATGCAGCCACTCAAACTATTATGGATGTCACCGAAGCCAATGGAAGCGAAACCCTTTACCGCCAATACAGAAATTAGCTCTTCCCAATTATGACACTTCAAAAGTTGAATAAACTCGTCAAGGTCAGCGATAATGTCAACTAACATGAACACATCGTGAATTATACATATTATCGTTTATGAACTCAAGTAAGAATAATACAAAAATAAATGCTCCACAATGAACTGTAAATGAAACCGATTCTTGCATAGTGGCGTCAGGCATGCCTTTGTTTGGATGAGCTGTACTGTCAGCTATCTTGCGGCACGTGTGTAGCACGTTGCGCCTCGCATGTATTTTGTACTTAACTTCGTATATGGAGTTTTCCGGCATAGCCATGAGTGCTATAATACATCCCACTTTCTTTTGATTTCCAGCTTCGTTTCCCATGTTGAAAATGCCACGTTCCCTACTGGCTCCAGTATCTGGCGACTGAAGTTTGTTGCCGCTGGTATCGCGAATGTTGTAACGACCTACAAGCAGACCAGTTCAAAATGCTACCATCCAACGTATACTTCCTTTTCAGCTGTGCTGAATGCTGCGTTCAGAGATTGACTCGCCCGGCTATCCCCGGTGCTAATCCTTCAGCGCTGTCCTCAAGCCTGGCAGGTGTTGAGAAGGCGATACCCGAGATTTTCTGTAGTACCTCGCTCGATGCGGAAATGGGTTTGGTTTTGAAATTCTTTATATTGCGATTGAGGACACTGCAGTAGACTGCAACATTGCTGCCCATCCATTTGCTGCGGTCTGTCACTCCATTAAGAAGTCGCACATCCTACCGGTCACTCCAGGTAGCACTGCTAACTCTCCTCATGAGCCTGTCAGAGTTAAAATATAGTGCGGAAAAAGTAGAAGCCCTCAGCTAAACCCATAGAAGCTACATTCGTGAGAAGCAGGCTGTGTTTCGTCGGGGTCGTGGCTGCATCGACCACACCTTCACCTTGCGTCATTTGTCGGAGCACTGTCACATTTATTGGCGGCCCACCGTAGTCGTGTCCCTCGACATCAAAGGAGCCTTCGATTCGGCTGATCGATGTGCCTACTCAGAGAAGGTGTGCTCAATAAATATGTAAATAATATCCAAGTATTATACGCACGTAGCACGGTCAGAGTGAAGGCTTACGGCAAGCTGTCGCCACCCTTTAATATCTCCAGCGGCGTGAGACAAGGCTGCCCGCTGTCACCTTTCCTCTTCGCTGTTGACTAGGTCATGGAGGTTGCATTTATAGGACATGACTTGAAAGGTGTTGAACTACTCCCAGGAGAAGGACTGCTTGACTTGGAGTATGCAGACGACATTGCTCTCATCTGTGATAGCTCCCAGACGTGCCAAGCCGCGCTGGGCAGATTAGCACTGGCTGTCAGCCGCTTCGTAGGCTGTTACATGGGCTGAACCCTTCTAAAACCTCTAAGCCTGATTTAATTCACCTGAAACTGTTGCATGAGTTGGCTGCAGAACTAAGTAGACCGCTCGCTATTGTGTTTCAGAAATTGCTTGACAGTTGTGCATTTCCTTCCGAATGGAAGGAAGCTGTCATCTGTCCCATCTTCAAAAATGGGGACGGGTCTGCCTGCAAATTACAGGCTAATTAGTTTGACGAGGGTAGTAGTCAAACTCCTCGAGAAACTGGTGAGACATTTATTGGAGGGTCATCTGGGTAGTTTTAATCTACTTGGCAATGTGCAACACGGATTCCGGAAAGAATTTTCGTGTCTGACGAATCTACTGGTGGCTCGCGAAAGTTGGGCAGATGCAATAGATAACGGCCACGCGCTGGACGTGCTTTTCGAAGGCATTTGAGGCTCGCGCAAAAGCTATCCTACGGCGTATCTGACCGCGCCCTTCATTGGGTGACTGCCTTGCAGGTTAGGGAACAGTGTGTACGGGTAGCCCGGGGCCCATCGTTTAGGCAGTCTGTCCTCAGTGGCGTGCCGCAGGGCTCTGTCCTTGAACTGCTGCTGAGGAAAGCGTGCCCTCCGAAAACCGTGCCGTGCAGGAGTAATGTCCAGAGCTTAGAGATGAAGCTGATGCGCTTTCTAAAGCCCTTTCCTTTGTCTTGCAAATGATCGACGTCAGGCAGTTCGGTCGGTACAATTAAGGATCCTCTCGATTTCCTCCTTTGTGGATTGGCTTCATAATGCCTACTTTCCAATCATGCGGAAGGCGACGAGCTTCCAGGTAGTGCCGAAACAATTGGCAGATTGGCTCGGCGACAAACGCAGCCACTGTTTTCAGGAACATGGGTGTAACTCATCTAAGCCTGGCGAAGAGTTCCGATTCAACTCATTCTCATCATCATGTTCGCAGTAATTTATATGTGCTCCAGGTGAGTGGGATGCGTGGGCACATAGTGATTGAAGACCGGGGCCACAACCGTGTACACTGATGAATATTGGGAAGCAAGAAGACAGACTTTCGCTTCATGGTCATGAAGTATAGCTTCATCATCTTGCGAATACAAGGCAGGTATGCCACAATCCGCCTTGGTACTTTTTCAGGTACGGGGAGAGCTTTTTCAGGTCGCTACAGAATTTCTCAGCCTAGTGACGCTCATTCTTTTCCCGCTTCATGCGTCTTTTCGGTGTACGCAAATTCCTGAACATTTTATAATCTTAATTGCCGGACGCCGATCGGCTGAGCTGTAATTTGTGCGACAGTTTTCGTCTTTTATGCATTCGGGTTCTAAGTTCTCACTCAAGCTGGGATGGGCTTTCAGTTTAAAGGTCCGAGAGCATCGGTTGGCACAACTTCGTCGATAACTGAGAGCAATTTCAGGCGGAGGTTCCAAGCAACTTCCCACTTCTGGGAAGTCCTCCAGTCCTTAACACTTGTAGCCATTTGTAGGCGGAGTGGATCGGCGCGCCAGTTGTTCTGACGAAGTATGCCCCGGTGGTGAAGGGCAGGTCGTCGTGTCCATAGAATGGAAAACACACGATCATTTAACCGAGTGGCTAGAGGATCTCTTAATCAGATACATCGGATAGTTAAGGCGTGACACAAAGTCGAGAATGTACGGTGATTTACTCGGAATGATCCGTGTATTTGACCGGGCATGTTGTTAGACCCCTATGGTGGACTGTTTCTAATAGAACAGCATCGAAGAACTCTCGGGTGAGATCAGAGTGAAGTGAATCCCACTTGACGGTGGGGGCATTGAAGTCTCAGTATTATGCACTCCTTGCCTCTGCCTTGCGTTTTAATCAAGTCATGCAACCGGGATTCGTAGGCGATTGGGGGTCTGTAGATAACACGAACCATACAGGAATTGTATTCGTCGTGGACACGACACCATAGTATCTCCGAACCATCTATCGTATCACAAACAGCTTCTACGGTATGAATCCTCAACTCGGGCTTCCAGTAAAATATGACGGCATCTCAAAACCTCGTACCAAGACGATCAGCCCGAGAAAACTGATATCCAGGAAGGCGTATTTTAGAATCGAGACTATCCGTGTACAGCCACGTCTCAGTAAAAGCCATCAGGTCTGGATGACACTGTAAAGTAAGAAGACGAATCTCATCCAGTTTATTTCCCAGGTTTCTCACATTGACAGACATCACACGCAATCCAAACCTATACTCTCGAGCCCGGGTTCGACCATGACAGGATGTCATCGAGCTTTCGGAGTCCATTGAACCACACGAAAATCCACAATACTAAGATTAGCTACATCATTTGCTCGGCGGGTCCGCATTTCATCAACGGTGTTCTTCATCCTCACTCGGTCTTTAGGGCAGAGTTCCTCATGACATGGAATGTTTCGCCCTTAAGACGCGAAGTCCGCCTGCGGATGCCACGACATTCCTCTTCATTCTGATAAACGGTTTTCAGCGGACCCACCTTGGAAGTGTCCTCCTGCTTTCGGCCAAAGCGAAAGGCGGAGACGACATTGATCTCCTGTTCCCCTTCGTCGAACATTAAAAATCATTCGCTGGTATGAGTAACTCTGAAGGTGCAAAAAAAGCACCACCCAGCATAGCTCAATGGATCTCTGAGACACGCAAACCATCGCACCACGGTAAGGTCCAGCCTCATTGTGATGGCGAAATCCACACTGGAGTTAAGGGACTTGCCTTACCCTCTTCGACTACAGCGGATGCACGTGTTCTCCCTGGAATATCGCCGACGTAGAGGTGATCTGATTTTTACTAGGCGAATTCTGATGGGAGAAATGGGGATGGATCTACAAGCGTTCTTTCAAGTCAACACTAATAGTTCCACTCGGGGGCACAACTGGAAACTATATAAACCCAGAACACTCAGATTTCGCTCCACACTCGCTTTATCAACCCACATTGTTAATGTCTGAAACGACTTGCCGAAACATGTGGTCGACGCGCAGACTGAGGAATGTTTCAAGCGATTTTTGGATTCGCACTTGATGTGTAAGCTGGAACCCTGCTTCTTCCAATGTAGCTGTTACGGCCCCTTGTGGAATACCGTCTCGTAGCGACTCACGGCATCCACGCAATGATTGGGAAGTGAAGGAGCTGACAAAGGACTTTCATTCTGCTCTCTACAATCCAATGATCCAATGGCCAAGTTGCAAGGGTTCTTCCAACTCAGTGTCAAAAACTCATACGAAGTCACAGTTGGAAGCTGTTTAAACCGCAAAGGTTGAACGTCACCTTATCCACTGTGTTCATGAATCAATGGTACTACCTCCCCGAATGTACTGTCAGTACCCAAACAGAAATATTTCAAGCAGCGGTTAGATAACTGAATGCTAAAAATGCTTGGATTTCACTGTTTTTGCTTCAGCTGTGCTGACCCCTCAGTGAACACAAGTAAGCAACGCCAAGCATCATCCAGTCAGTGAATGGGAGGTAAAGGAGCTGACATGGGTCTTTTCCCTTCTGTTTTCTACAACACTTTGAAACTAGGACATTTTTAATTTTATGTTTATATCGGTGCATCAGTACATAATATGACAAATTTTACTACCGCAGGATGGCTGTCCCGAATCAAGCGCTGTTGGGATCAAAGATTACCGTTCGTTTTCACACCAATAATTCACATCGCAACCCAAGCTCGAAAGCATTCTACAACGTGCTTGCTGGTTGGGATCACCATATGCGTATCTGACACCATTCTATCACGCCTTTCGCCACTTTTAACTGAATCTGTAAACCTACGTCTGTACTGCTTGAGCCCGGTGGATAGTGTAGGACATTAATTTTGCTTATGTTATTACTTAGAATTACTTGTAATTCAAGGCACTTTTCCGGACGCCCACTTTGTGCTCGCTTCCCAAACTCGGCTGCCGTACTTTTGAACTGTGCTACACGGGAGTTGACATTCCCTCACCTTGTACAGCCCACCGGACTTTTTTCTACTCCCACTCACCACGGCGTATTAAATTAGACCCAAATGATATGAGTTGTCACAGGTGTTTATCTTAAACGTAACCGAGTCCTTTACTAACTACTTCGCCTTGCTCTCATTCCTCGGTTTTCGCCGTAGGTCTTTTACACTTCCCTTGCTTGCAATGCCCAAGAACAAACGGTCCAGGCTCGATGTTGGCGTAAGTTTGAGAAAGCTGACTGTACCTTTCAGGCCATACAAGCAGCTGAAGCTATCACTGTTGTTCCGGAAAATAAGCGCCCCACTCTGGACTGCAGCCAATGGCCTTTACTCCTCAAGGTATGTCCCTACTATTTCTCTAATTTTAGAATGTGCATCTTATGAACATTCGTGAATGTCACTTTGAGCCAGACACTACCGGCTATTCACCTTTGCACCGTCCAATTGATGAACATATTCAGTTAAGTGGTTCTTTATTTCCAACTTTTCGCTTAGGGCCGGCATCATTAACCTGGACAAGCCTTCTAACCCGTCCTCCCATGAAGTCGTTGCGTGGGTTAAAAGAGCTTTAGGTGTTGGTAAAACTGGACACAGCGGAACGCTAGATCCGAAAGTTACAGGTTCGTGTCTCCCGTCTAACATGTTAAGGTTGCCTCATCGTGTGTATAAACCGGGCCACCCGTCTCGTAAAATCTCAACAGAGTGCTGGCAAAGTTTACATAGGGATATTTCGACTACATGAAGCCCTCGATGACTATAAACGTATTCAGCAGGTAAGTCAACCCTTGCAGCCAATGGTGTTGTCTGTATTGTAGGCAGTGGAAACCCTGTCGGGTGCACTGTTTCAGCGTCCTCCACTAGTAGCAGCCGTGAAACGTCAGCTGCGCGTTCGGACAGTATATGAAAATAAGCTACTTGAGTACGACAAAGAAAAAGGATTAGGTTTGCTTCTTTCTTTTTAATCAATTAAGGCGTTATCCGCGTCACATGTGAGGCCGGGACTTATGTTCGGACATTGTGTGTTCATATCGGTTTACTTCTGGGATGTGGAGGCATAATGGAAGAGCTGCGCCGCACGCGCTCTGGCAATTTGACCGAAGAGGTATACTTTTTCTTATGGGTTTCACGGCCTCAGGACAATATGGTAACAATGCATGACGTACTGGACGCTAAGTGGCTTTATGATAACAGACGTGATGAATCATACCTCCGGCGCATAATAATGCCTTTGGAACGGTTGCTGATTAGCCATAAGCGCATAATGATCAAGGACACGACTGTACGCTCTTGAATTCATTTCCAGCGGTTTAGGTGTGCGCTATTTGCTATGGAGCTAAACTCATGTTACCGGGTGTATTACGTTACGACAATGACATTAATGTAAATGATGAAATCGTCCTAATGACAACTAAGGGCGAAGCTGTTGCCGTTGGTATGTTGAATTCGGGCCCACATTTTTATTCCGTTTCAAGCTATTGCACTGATGGCGACAGCCACAATTGCAACCTGCGACCACGGTCTAGTGGCGAAACTAAAGCGTGTTATCATGGAACGTGATCTGTATCCTCGGCAGTGGGGACGAGGCCCAGTGGCCATGGAACGTAAAAAGATGGTTGCTCAAGGCTTGCTAAACAAATATGCTAAGCCAGGCGAAACTCCTCCCATTCCTAGGTAAGTGTTGCTTTTCATTCGTTTGTATTTGGTAGCTCTATCCCTGCTCCCAAACGTGAAAGTAGTGCTCACTCAAATTCCATGGCAGTGTAAGTTGTGGGCCATTTGGTTTTACGTTTGATTTTAGCGAAGAGCCAGATGCGGACGTCTTTAATGACTCAAGTTCGGACGACTCCAGTGATGATGTACAAGCTGCAGAGTAAGCTGTTGTTTGTACTGCCTTTGTTACCTTGGTGATGATCAAGCATGTGTCAGATTTTTGACGACCCAATTCTCTGAGTACTTCAGAACGCGTTGCGCATTATCATACTTCATCCGCTACACTAAATTTTCTTATTTTAGGCCCCAGAACGTGCTTAAGGTTGGCTCCTCCGAAAGTGACAGTGATTAGCTTGATGTCAAGTGTACAGCATGATTATACAATGAGCTCAACTTGTGACTTTTGAATGTGTTCTTTCTACCGTATTGGCTAAGTCGTTTCTGCTGCGGCGCTGCTTGCTTCACGTGAACGTGCTAGTTCAGCATCCCATTTGTATGCTGCCAGCTATTTCATATAGGTTATCTGTCGACTGTCTATTTTGACAGTTGTAGAGCTCGATGCGTCCATCGTCGTATTACTTCAAAATCTCGAAAGATACAATTAGGATACTGATCACTAGTTCCTTTTGGATTGTAGTATGACATCGCTGTGAGTTTCTGCATCGTTTTTCGACCAAAGTTGATACGGCCGTGCACGCATTGTATTAGTCGTGTACACGACACCATAGTATTTCTTCAAATATAAACTTCATCCTGCATCGGCCGTCGCGCAGATTATCAAGGGTCGCCTTATCTGCTGCATACAGCAGGATGGATGAGGGAAAACATGCTACTGCTGGCGCCTCCCTTCTTTCTTTTCCACCTTTTTCTCTTACTCCCATCCCGGCCCCCATTACTAACCTTCCTTTTATATTTCCCAGCCTAATTGACAGCAACCGAAGTGATACTGGAGTAGTACCATCTGCAGCTACCATCGCACAGCACCTATCGGACGCCTATCGGCAAAAGTCCCTTATAAGGCCACGCTGTCCCGTATCCATGGCGACATTCAACGTCCGCACTCTAAGACAAACAGGTCAGCAGGCTGCACTCGCACGCACCTTGGACACACTGGGTGTTGATATGTGTTGTGTGTCCGAAACTAGGATTAATGACCCTAACGAGGTTATTGAATTGACTGCACCCGACTTATCCTCTCGTTATTGGTTGCACGCATCCGGAGACGCCGATGCGGCACTCACGGGTCAAGCTAGTGTAGGTATCATTCTCAGCTCCAAGGCTGAGTCATCGTTGGTTGATTGCATTCCGGTGAACAGCCGTTTATGTGCAGCCCGTTTGACGACATCAGCTAAGGTGAATTCGCGAAGTAGTACAAAATGCTGTTTGTTTGTGATTTCCGTTTATGCTCCCACCGACTGCAGTTCTAATGCAGTCAAGGACACTTTTTATCACGAACTGAACGGGCTACTACGCAGTGCTACTAGTTCAGATATTATAGTACTTGCAGGGGATATGAACGCCCAAGTAGGGCGTCTGAGCTCTTCAGAAGCTCAGCTGGGTGGTAAGTATGGACTTAACTCTGAACGGACTGACAACGGTGAGCGTATGCTGCAACTGTGTGCGGAGCACCAGTTGTTTCTTACTAGCACTGCTTTTAGACACAGTGGGCGCCGAAGTGCCACTTGGCGTCCTCCTGTAGCTGGCCAGCGATGGACCCAAATTGACCACATAGCCATAGGTTACAGGTGGCGCGGTTCCATTCTGGATTGCCGCTCGTACTGGAGTACCTATGTCGACTCTGATCATGCCTTGGTGCGCCTTCGTTTCTCCTTGAACTTTACCGGAAGGCGCACAAAGCGTCTCCTCTGATTGACAACGTAGCACTTGTCCCAGCCCTCGGTCAGGCAAGCCTATCAAGAAGCACTGCATAGCGAACTCTCGTTGTCTTGTCCTAATGACACTGAACTTCTGTGGAATAGGATCTCGGTCGCTATGCACGACGCAGGAGCATGCTTGTGGCACTACCAATCGTCACCGCACCAGTCACTGGATATCCGATAGGTCGGTGAACCTGTTGGAATCTAGAAGACACCTCCCGGCTGGCTGTGAACATAACGTGACCAGACGTACTATTAGGCGTGAACTAAAGCAGAGCCTACGTGCTGACAAGGAAGCCTGGTGGACCAGTCGGGCTCAAGAAATGGAGGCGGCAGGAGCAGTAGGCAATTACCGCAAGCTCTTCCAGCTAATCCGCACCACTGGTCCCAGAAAACCAGGCGTCAGTGAGACAATCAGAGACAGCGCGGGTGCGCTGATACACAATAAGGAGCGCCGTATGGCTCATTGGGCTGAACACTTTGAAGATCAGTTCAGCTGGCCCCCTGCTTCCGGACCTCTTCCTACTCAGGTGATGCAGGACGAGCCATGGACGGTTAGTTTAGAGCCTCCGTCGGAGGCCGAGGTCCGAAACGCGATCACAGCCCTCAATCGTTTTCGTGCCGCTGGCCCGGATTCCCTCCCACCTGCACTATTTAAGGATGGAGGTGAGGTCCTCTGAAGGGCACTGACCTCCCTATTCGAACGTATCTGGAAGGAAGAGACTGTCCCGGCTAATTGGAGCGAATCGATTATAGTGGCAATATACAAGAAGGGCAGTCGCACAGACTGTTCTAACCACAGGGGTATTAGCCTAAAGCCAGTTGTGACAACATTACTGACCTCGATTATCGTTCATCGCCTCACTGCAGAACGGGAATCTCGGATTAGGGAAGAGCAGGCCGGTTTCCTCCCAGGACGTGGCTGTATAGACCATATATTTACTTTGTGGCAGGTGCTAGAGCAGCGCCACGCATATCGCAGACCGACAATAGCTGTGTTCCTCGATTTCAAGAGTGCGTTCGATTCAGTCGATCGATCGATTCCGTTCGAATTACTTGCGCGGAAAGGTGTTCCCACGAAATATGTGAACATCCTTCGTGCTCTATACTCGAACACTACAAGTCGTGTCAGGGTCTACGGTGTCCTATCGGATAGCTTTCGACTACAAGTGGCGTTCGTCAGGGTTGTCCGATTTCCCCGTTTTTGTTCAATTTCGTCGTGGATTCTATCATGGAGTGTACCCTGACGGAATTCAACGATGTAGGCGTTGAAGTGCTGCCTGGTGAAAGGTTAGTTGATCTAGATTATGCGGACGATATCGTCTTGCTTTTCGACAATGTTGGGGCGGCACAATCAACCCTGCATAGCCTGTCCAGAGTGGTCCCATTATTTGGTATGCATTTCGCGCCTTCAAAGTGCAAAGTGTTGCTGCAGGACCACCAGCCACCTGACCCCTTGACGCTTGCTAACGAGGAACTCGAGGTGGTTGATCAATTCACTTATCTTGACAGCTGCATCAGCAATGATGGGTGCATAGAAACTGACGTAAGCTCACACATTGCAAAGGCCAGAGCTGCCTTCTTGAACCTGCGGCATCTTTGGAGACAGAAGGGAGTTTCCCTCCGTCTGAAAGGCCGTGTATACAAGGCCACAGTGAGGACCGTTCTGCTGTATGGTAGTGAAACTTGGCCCTTTCGGTCTGAAGATCTGAGACGCCTTCAAGTCTTCGAACATCGTTGTTTGCGAAGCATTGCTGGTGTCGGATGCCACCAGCGTGTCCGCAACGATGATGTGCGTAGGCGTGTACTAGGTGGTGATGATCATGCTAGCTCCCTAGAACAACAGATAGCACTGAATAAGTTGCGTTGGCTCGGGAACGTGCTACGCATGCCTGGTCACCGCTTACCTAGGAGGGCCTTGTTCAGTTTACCAGGTGTACGATGGCGCAAGGCTCGAGGTGGCCAGAAGTTGACTTGGCAGCGGGAAATGAAGTCACTGACGACCAAACTGGGTGCCGTTGGTCCGTCTCGCCTTCCGGGTTGGAGTCTACGTGACTCACCTTGTGCTTGGCTCGAGACTTTACAGTACATGGCTCGCAACCGACACCAGTGGCGCGTCTGCTGCCGTCTCCTAATCGGATTGTCTGTTTAAAGTGTGTTTGGTGCTGAGTTATCTGCGGGGTAATGGCTGATTATGACGCGGGGCAGTGAAAGCCGCAAGGAAGCTGTCTCGCCGATGCCGCCTTATCTTTGCACGATAGCCAGCTGTTTGTGACGGTATGTTGTTAACACAAGGTGTAGGCGCCTTGACCCAGAATGTTTGCTTAAGGCATTAAGGTTTTCAGGTAAGTCCCCCTTCTCTCCCTCTTCTTATTCTTTATTTCATAGGTCCTCATGGTTGTATGGCAGCGAAGCATCAGTTCGAATGGCTGATGTACTGCTGTTGATGATGATGATGATCTCCGAACCATCTACCGTATCACAAACAGCTTCTACTGTATGAATCCTCAACTCGGGCTTCCAGTAAAGTATGACGGCATCTCAAAACCTCGTACCAAGACGATCAGCCCGAGAAAACTGATATCCAGGAAGGCGTATGTTAGAATCGAGACTATCCGTGTACAGCCACGTCTCAGTAAAAGCCATCAGGTCTGGATGACACTGTAAAGTAAGAAGACGAATCTCATCCAGTTTATTTCCCAGGCTTCTCACATTGGCAGACATCACACGCAATCCAAACCTATACTCTCGAGCCCGGGTTCGACCATGACAGGATGTCATCGAGCTTTCGGAGTCCATTGAACCACACGAAAATCCACAATACTAAGATTAGCTACATCATTTGCTCGGCGGGTCCGCATTTCATCAACGGTGTTCTTCATCCTCACTCGGTCTTTAGGGCAGAGTTCCTCATGACATGGAATGTTTCGCCCTTAAGACGCGAAGTCCGCCTGCGGATGCCACGACATTCCTCTTCATTCTGATAAACGGTTTTCAGCGGACCCACCTTGGAAGTGTCCTCCTGCTTTCGGCCAAAGCGAAAGGCGGAGACGACATTGATCTCCTGTTCCCCTTCGTCGAACATTAAAAATCATTCGCTTTAGGAAATCTTGGTTATCCACTATCCTATAAGCCGACGTTTCGTTATTAGATTTGGGTGTGTTCACATTGATCAGACACCGTTCACGAGGAGGAAACTGCTTCCGTCCGCAACAGGAGACGATTGTGGTTTTTGGGTGTGCCTTGACTAGGTCTTAGAGTTGACTCATCTTGTCAAGAACCAGCTTCAATTGGGAACAGACTAGATTCAGGTGCGTTTTCCGTTAGGAGTAGTGGGCAAGCCGCGTGTAGACGTATAATAGGGACTTGGGTTGTTTCTGCTTTACGAACAACGTGTGCAGGAACGCAAGGTGGACAGAGACGTTTATCCATCAGTATGGCTCAGAAAGCGTTTCAGAAGCAGTTGGCAACTGGAGAGGTAGACCGGTGAATGTTTACATCATCGTCATTATACACATCAGCTAGAGGTGGGGGACACCTCAGCTACTGTGCCGCAATAAATAAATGTAAACGAAAAATAAATACAAAAGTTACATGTCAGCTGAGCTACCAACAACGGATAGGCATCGTTCCGGTAAGCTACCAACCGGCTATTAAGCAGAAAGAAAAATTATGTTTTACGCTAAGAAATGAGATCGTACGTAGTGGTGGAGGCTAAAAGGGATGGAGAAGGACAAAGAAACTCACAGCTGGAACGCCACTGAGGTCCGCTGCTTGCTATGTCAGCAAGTGTATCCCAGCCAAACGTGTTCGCCGTCTTTTGGACCCCAACCAGGGAGCCGTGACTCTCCAACCGAGTCATCGCTTGGCCACCCCTCTTCTTTCATCCACATCCCCGGGGAGCAACAACGCACGTCGTGGAAGTTGGTGGGCTGGCATGCGCAACACGTGGCCGAGCCA